CTGATTTCATGACGATCGCTAAACCCTTACATGTCTTGACATCAAAGGGGGTCAAGTTTCACTGTGGCCAGGAGGAGGAGGCTGCTTTTCACTCCCTCCAGGACACCCTAGTGGGGGCTCCGCCATTAGGTTATCCCGACTTTTCGGAACCCTTCTTGCTCAATACGGACGCAAGCAACACGGGCATTGGGGGCATGCTTTCCCAGGTTGTTGGGGGCGTAGAGCATGTTGTGGCATACGGCAGTTGGGGTTGTCTCCGGCGGAGCAGAGGTACTGTGTCACCCGTCGGGAACTATTGGCAATCATTTACTTCATTCAGCAATATCCCCCATATCTGTACGGTCGCCATTTCACCGTCCGCACAGATCATGCGGCGCTGCAGTACGCCTTGCGGGTTCAACAGCCATCAGGACAATTTTCCCGATGGTTGGAGATTCTCCAAGATTTCGATTTCGAGACTACATATCGTAAGAGCGTTCGCCACACGAATGCAGACGCTCTGTCGCGTTTTCCACCCGCCTCTGATTGCGCTTGCCTCCTGGGTTCGAGGCGTTGCAGACCTCCGAATGTAATCTCTGATTCGGTCCTTGTGGCCGCCGCTGATGCGCCTTCAATTGCGGGTCCTATTGAGCAAGAAGGGAGGGATTCCTTGCTAGGATTGTCTGTTGCGGAGTGGGGGCGCCTCCAAATGGAGGACACCTCCCTCCTCACATTGCGCCGCCGCATCGGGGGATCTGGTCGGGGGGTGGAAAATGTCGACTCGTGGGTGTTGTTCCAGGGTCTCTTGATGCATTGGGACGGGAGATCCCGCCGCCACCGGCTGGTGGTGCCTTCCACACTGAGGGGTAGAGTGGTGTGGGCTGCTCACGAGCGACTCCTGCACCTGGGGACTCACAAAACCCTTGCCATGCTCCAGCTGGATTTTTCTTGGCCGGGCATGACAAGGGACGTGAATGATCTTTTATGGTCTTGTACTCGGTGTGCGCAACGGAAGCCACCAGCAAGGGGGTCCAACCCACCATTGCAGTCTATCAAGGTTTCCCGGGTTAACGAACTCGTCGCGTTAATTGGTTCTTTACCCTTCTATCTGGCAACAAAACTGACAAAGGTGTCAGTTTTGTTGCCAGATAGAAGGGTAAAGAACCAATTATCATATTTTTACTGGCAAATGAGGTCCCCATGGTGAACTCGTCGCGCTTGATATTTTGGGCCCATTCCCCGCTACACCTAGGGGAAATAAATACCTATTGACCGGGGTGGAATATTTTACGCGATGGCCTATGGCCTGTCCCCTCACCAACCAGTCAGCAGCAGCCATCACGGAGGCCTTTGTCCAGAACTACGTCCTCGACAAAGGTACTCCAGAGCGGCTGCTGACCGACCAGGGGAAAAATTTCTTGGGTAAACTTCTCCACGAGGTGTGCGAGCTCCTGGGTACGAAAAAAAATCCGTACCTCCCCATATCATCCGCAAACTGACGGGATGGTGGAACCTCTGCATCGGACTATCACGTCCATGCTGTCTCAACAGGTGTCTGAATCCCAGACCGACTGGGACCTTCATATTCCGGGGGTTTTGGCGGCCTACAGAATGGCTCCTCATGCAGCGACCGGATTTTCGCCCTTCTTCCTAATGTATGGTCGCGAGGCTAAGTCGCCTGTCGCGACTCAGCTGCGGATCTCCGCGCCGCATTGATAGAGGCACAGGAGGCAGCCATCCAAATTTCAGACCTCCGCCAGAGGGCGAATGAAAGGCTCAAGCTGGGCCGGGTACATGTGCTCCAGTGGAAACCGGGTGACAAGGCGTGGTTGCACTGTCCCCAAGTTCCGCTGGCGACCTCGTCCAAGCTGTTGCGGCCGTGGCAGGGGCCTGTGGAAGTGGTGCAGGTCTTGCGGCCACAATGTGTACATATCCGGTGGGGGAAGCATCGGTGGTTCGTGCACCCCTCGCGGTTGAAACCGTTCGTTGCGCCCCATGTTCCTCCTCCACACACACATGGCCAAACATGTGAGGGGTTCACCGACTTCCGGAGTCCGACTTCGCTGCATTCGCCTGACTTGCCACCGACTATTCCGCTTCCAGGTGCACCAGGAATGACGTGCTCGCGACTGCCAACCCCTCCCGGGGGGGTCAGGGGTCACTCGTCGGCGAAGCCAGACACTCTCGCACCCGAACTATTGACACCCACCGCTTGACCGGCTGGGGCTGCCCCTTGTGACGGTCCCGCTGCAAGAACGCGCGCCAAAACGCGCAGACTTTTGTGAGGTCGGCTTCTCGTGCAGCCCTTGCTGGGGTCGCGGGGTGGGGGACCTTGAAATTGTACATATGTTGGTTTCTTACGGGATGGAGTATTTATTGGGGGGGTGCATCGGGTTATTGTTTTCACTCTCGGTAGTGTTGTTATTGTTATTCTTGTTGTTGTTTATGCGAGGCACACACGGGTTTGGGGGGGATGCATCTTTATTGTGAATTTTGTTGCAGCCGGGACGGCTGCGGGCTGTACAGGGGGGGGGGGGGGGGGTGATGTAGAGGTGTTACGGGAGGGCGAACAAACACACCAGGGGTGGTTATGCCCGCACGCAGAAGGATGCTTACATCCACAGCCTGGGGGGCTGAAACGGCGCTGTGATCCCCCACGGCCCCACCCCTCAGGGGGGGGGGGGGGGGAGTTGCTATATAAGGTGGTGAGCTGGTGGGCTCGGGGTTCAGTGTTTAGCTTAAGCCAGTGAAGAAGGAAGACCGGCTAGATAGGCCCTGGGACTCCCCTGGATCGCTGTCCTTCTAAGGACCGACCAGGGCAAGCCAGTGGCGTGGCCCCGAGAGCCCAGAACCAACGCTCTTGTAAGAGCCAGTCTGGTGACTAAGGGTGCCGTGATCCTAGCTTGGCCAGAGCTGGATCAGCTAGCCTCCCCTCGCTCTGTAGTGGAGGACCTGGGAGTATGCTAGCCGGGATAGAGATAGTGGGATCTCCCTGTTAGACGGGTGAAGGGGCCGATACCCCTTCGAGTGTTGTATACTTCGACCTGTATTGAGTGAAACGTTTAATAAATAAGCATGCCTCCGTCGACGTCGTCCAAGTTTCATTGAACCTACTACTCTGAAACATTCAGCTGTTCATTGGCAAACTTCAGACGGGCATGAATGTGCTTTCTTGAGCAGGGGGACCTTGCGGGCGCTGCAGGATTTCAGTTCTTCACGGCGTAGTGTGTTACCAACTGTTTTCTTGGTGACTATGGTCCCAGCTGCCTTGACATCATTGACAAGATTCTCCCGTGTAGTTCTGGGCTAATTCCTCACCGTTTTCATGAGCATTGCAACTCCACGAGGTGAGATCTTGCATAGAGCCCCAGGCCGATGGAGATTGACAGTTCTTTTGTGTTTCTTCCATTTACGACTAATCACACTAACTGTTGTCACCATCTCACCAAGCTGCTTGGCGATGGTCTTGTAGCCCATTCCAGCCTTGTGTAGGTCTACAATCTTGTCCCTGACATCCTTGGAGAGCTTTTTGGTCTTGGCCATGGTGGAAAGTTTGGAATCTGATTGATTGATTGCTTTTGTGAACAGGTGTCTTTTATACAGGTAACAAGCTGAGATTAGGAGCACTCCCTTTAAGAGTGTACTCCTAATCTCAGCTCGTTACCTATATAAAAGAGACCTGGGAGCCAGAAATCTTTCCGATTGATAAGGGGTCAAATACTTATTTCCCTCATTAAAATGCAAACCATTTTATATTTTTGACATGCGTTTTTCTAGATTTTGTTGTTATTCTGTCTCTCACTGTTCAAATAAACCTATCATTACAATTATAGACTGATCATTTCTTTGTCAGTGGGCAAACGTACAAAATCAGCAGGGGATCAAATACTTTTTTCCCTCACTGTATATGCCGTTCAACTCTGCTTGGATTCTCATCTCTAAGTCGAACACTAAGAGTGTTGCATCCAATAGGTGTGAATGAATCGACTGTGATTTATTTACCATGCTTGTGTGTGTGTGTATACATTCAGGCTGGCCTGCTTTGATCCATCCTCGGTTTAACCAGGCTGGATTGTCAGGAACGCACAAATCCTAGAAATATCTGGAGTCCCATCGGTGAGCTTCTCCAACAGGCAAGGCTGTGTTGGCTGGCTCACATAGAATGCATGCCAAGCCACTACATGCCCAAACAGCTATTGTTTGGCCAGATAAAGGGGGCTAAACGGGCGCGGCACAGTTAGAGAAGAGATGGAATTATGTGGTACAAGAGAAAATTGAGCGGACGACTTACCAATGACTGGTACGACTGGTGTCAAGATCGCCTCTGTGGAGGAGGCTCGTGAAGGACACAACTGGACAGTTCGTAGGCAGACGCCGTCCAGCAACGGAGGGCAGAAGAATGATGCTCACAACAACGAGCGGACCGCCGGGTGGATAAAACAAAGATGGCGCATCGGCCAGTCATCTGTCAACCCATAGCACCAGGGTTTGTCCTGTGATCTGCCAGCGGGCGTTCAATACTTTCACGTGGCCTTAAAGTGCATCTAGCCTGGCACAAACGCCATGGTGACGTGACCGCCACTTAGTGGCGAATGACGGTTGTATGTTTTTCCGCGTGATAATCTAAACACACAAAATGCACAACTGGCACAACGCAAATGTCCACACACATTTTGCCGCCTTAATCTCGCTGTCCACTCGTTGAGGTCATCAGTTAGACGGACGCCTCGATGGCGAATCATCAACACGCTCCCGGACAAATGCACAACGCAAATGTCCCCGCGTTGCCGCTTGCACCAACCCGTCCAGTTGCTGACACGAGTCATATGTATGCCCAGAGGGCGAACCGTGAACAAGTGAGTGTCAGGGGCGAGCATCGGGCGTGAGTGCCGCGGTGCAGGAAGATGAATGGAGACGGTGGTTTTGTGTCGAGGTGGAATTATAAAATAAAGTGCACACACACACACAAAAGACATGGAGAGCGACTCGGCATCCTTTACTACTATAACAAGGGAGGCAAACATCGGAGCATTAGTTAAACAATGAGGGAGTGATCATTTATAACCAAGGAACACAACTCGATTTTCCCCGTAACGTCTATTATTTGTCGAACGCATTTTGCCCACCACGGCATTTTCCAAGAACGTAACGTTCGGCGAGCTCTGCCTGTACTCAAAAAACAATTGTCAACAAATGCAGCTCAAAACTAAGCAAACTAAAAAACATGTTTTAAACAATTGAACACATTTACAGTAAATGTATCAGCATTCATACGGTATTGTTTAACTCAACACCATAATGCACGGTTACACATCGCACTCGAATGTTACACTTAAGCAGTGATTCCTTACGTAAGTATTGCAAAGGACATGTGCGTGATATTTGTGTAAACATCATTCCAAGCATTCTCAATAAATCAGTGAATGAAAGCCTTCCCACACTGTCGATCGTTGGATCTTTTGACTATACTTGGCCATTCTCGTCAGTGTAAGTTGGTGGAGGTGGGGGCATGGAGGGTAAGAGATGAGCTCTCGTATAACTTGCCACTCCTGTGTATGTCTTCATTAAAATGTAAGCTTAAGGATACATGATTACAGTAGCTTGCTAACTAACATTCTAACAATGGAAGTTTTCCAGTTCTTATATATGGTGTCCTACGGTCGGTTCTCTTGAAAATTGAATTTAACTTACATTTGAGACTTTTGAAAATGTTGGAAAAAGTGTACCAAAGAATGCATTTTTACAACACATCCTCATTCCTTTCCTTAGCTGTTTGGTGCGTATACAGTAGATCAGCACATTCGCCATCGGCACAATAAACGCACCGAACTGGAAAAGGCACCTCATGTTTCGCAGAGCGGGGGTGTTGAAATCTTTGATGAAACGAGGTGTTAAGGCGGAAACAAAAATCGCGAAAAAAAACATCGACAGCGCCAAGAAGTGCGTCAGCAAAGTGTTCAAACCGTGCTTGGTAATCTCAGTAGATCGTTTAATGCGACACTCAATAAATATATTTAAGTAGCTGTAGCTTATGAAAACAAGTGGTAAGATAAAGAAGAGCAGCATGAGTATCGAGCCGTATACATAACTAATATTGGTGTCCGATTCAGCCAACAAAATCATTCCCATGTTATCGCACAAAATTCCTTGGATTTTCCGATTATTGCCGAATTTTAGCTGCGCGGCGAGGAATGTGAGGGTCCCAAAAACCGCCGAGGTGACCGTCCACATCAGCATCAGCACACCGAGCGTCTTCTTGGCTGTGATGATGGTGTGGTAGCGCAGCGGGTGACAGATGGCCACATAACGGTCAAAAGCCATGACCGATAGCGTCAGCACCTCGACGTTACAGAACACGTGAAGGCAAAACATCTGCACGAAGCAAGACTCGCGCAGGATTTCGCCGTCGCCCGTCAGCAGGATTTGCAGCTGCTTGGGCACGATGCTTGTACAGCCGACGATGTCGGCCACCGCCATGTTTCCCAGGAACAAGTACATGGGCTTGCGCAGCTCGGGGCACATGAGCACCGCCAAGAAGACCAGCAGGTTGGCTACAACTGTGGCCACATAGAGCGGCAGGCAGAGGCCAAAAATGACCATCTGCACGGAGTAGGATGCTTCGAACGTGGAGAGGTAGAACGCCGAGCTGCTGTTATCCATTGCTGACGCTGATCAACAACTGGTGTTTGAAGAGAGGCAAAGAAGGCGAGGATTTGTTTTAGATGAAATTCATAATCAATTTATTATAATACTTACAGGTTGGGTATATTGGGGCAAAGGGTGAGTACTCCTACCTCTTCCAAGAGGTATGGTCAGCGTGGAAGAGTAGACCAAATACCCTCTAGAGCAGGGGGGGAGACGTCCGGCCCGAGGGCCGTATGAGGCCTGCGAAATCATTTGGTGTGGCCCTGCCAAGGCAACCGCAGGCGCGACTCGAAATTCAATCAATTTAGGAGCAAACCTGGAAAAGCAGCTGCGAGTAGCAACATCATCAATACCAGCTCCAGCCATCTCGCCCAATTGGATGTCCACTGCAAAGATGGATTGATGAAACTGGCTCAGGTTCAGGAGCTAAATGTGTTTTAGCATTAGAATGTATGATTTGACGACAGCGTTTGAAATCAATTAAGCATTAGATTGATCATGACTAATGATGATGATTGTGCTGAGTAATAGTGTTTGTACCCCGATTATATTGAGGTGGATTCATTCAATGTCAGCATTTTTATTCGCAGTCTCACGTATCGACTTTGTAATTCCAAATGGGTTTGTCTTGTATGTACAAAGTATTTATTAGTGGGAGATTTAATTAACTACAAAATGAAGCGCTTATTCAAATGTGCAGATATGGAACGTCAAGTATTGAAAATGCATTTCCGAAAGTGAAAATTTCTGACACGTTTTGTTAACATACAGTAAGGTCTCAGATGACGCGGTGGGGGTTAGGTTCTATGTATTCCCGCGTTAGCGCGACATCGCGTAAGTTGGGCTTCGTTTACACGAGTGTAGTAAAAAATTGTAAGAGTGGAAAGAAATGTATATAAATGTACGTAAATGTTTAATAATGTACAGTACTGTCCAGCAAATGATTCACGAATCATCGGTAACATCCAGGTCAGATGGAACAGATTTCTTTTACTCGTTTATTGCGTGGGCGATATAGTTACACGCCTTCAAATCCACGTGCGCGTGATGGTGGGGGGTGATGTGACTCCTTGCTTCCCGCTCCGTGCGTGTAGCAAGTCCGAGTCACAAGTGTCAGACTGCGTACTCCGAGACCGCACTGCATTTCAATAAACATTAAGAATATTTTTAAGTACTCTGGTAAATTACACGTAAAATAAGGCGTATTATTTTGGATGAAACTAAACATGTTTTTTTTAGAGACGTGACACGCACGGAATGTTATTACCACGCAAACGTACAAACGTTATTAAGACATGTTTTAGCTTAGGAGGCATGAAAGAGTGCGAAGTAAACACCCGCCCAAGCCCCCCTGTATAAACTCACCGTAGTGCCACTGGATGTCCGCAGCAGAGAGCTCAGTGCGCCGCGCGCGAACCCCTTCTTTTATACGTTTCGGGTATCACGTGTCCAATAACGCTCTCGTGGTTTTGTGGTCACGTGTCTCTCATTACGAACGCTCACATGGAGATATGTGGCTGGGCGACTGCAAATTACATGGGAATACTGTGCAATCAGTGAGGTCGAGCCCAGATAATTAGGATGATATTTCACATTAGTGAATTTTTTTTTAACACCACATTATGTATGATATATTAGGTGCACTTTCAACCGCTTTTGTCATTCCACCGCTGGATGAGGGTCTCCTCACACCTTGCAAGTCATGTGGAGTTATTTGACCGCATTGACCAGCTGGTCAGCACGGGTTGCGGGAAGGCAGGGAGTTCAGGCGTTGGAGCAGAGGACTGTACAACTGTGTATTTTGCTGCACTATGCTATGCAGTCAACGTCGTCCCACATACGCCTATATCACCTGATTTGTGTGCGGTGGTCACCCATCCAAGCACTATCCAGGATAAACATTGCTTAGCTTCCAAGATGTGACCATCTTGGATGCATTCTGGGTGATTTCGTCAAAGGCACATTGTGAGTGATTGAGGATTAAATAAGGTTTACAAAAGTCTCGCGAGCATACGGAATGAGTAGATCCATGAAGAATGACATCTACAAGAGTGGCTGTTAAATAAAATAAAAATGGATGATGGTGGTATATGAACATGTTACAATGTGGAAAACCAACCCATTCAGTGGTACAGTACTTCACTTTTCATGAAAAATCGACCAAATGGGTAACATTTTGTGATAAACTTTATAAATCAAAACAGGATTTTTTAAAAATAACATTAATTTATAAAATTAAATAATTTACAGTCCTTTATAAATTAACTGCTGGATGAAAACGTCTTCATGCCGCCCCATTAATCCACGGTGGCTATATGGTAACTACCTCGCCTGGTATACAGGAGCCTGTATATTTGGAGTTTGCATGTTCTCCCTGTGGTTATGTGGATTTTTTTTCCCGGGTTCTGTGTCCACATTTAACACGTACGTGCGTTTAGAGCATTTGGCTGCTCTACATTTCCAAAAAAACTATTTTGATTAGGAATACTTTGTGATAGCAGGTCGCTTCTGAAAAATATCTATACAGTATTGCTCAGTGGACCTTACCTGGTACAATAAAAATAGTAAAAAATGAAATATTTCGCCACACTGGTTAGAGTAGACTCAAATATCAGTCACCTAGAATGGGCCTGATCTTACCATATTTGACAATTCTAAGCAAAAGTGAGGATCGATTGTGATGCACTGCGCCTGTCATCTCCTCGTCCAATTCCTCTGCTAGATGTATCACCTGGTCAGTCTTCTGTCTCGTCTCCCTATGCCATAGGTACGATCATGAGCCTCCCAAGCGTCGCTAAGCACAGACTTGCACACTTTTAGGGTTATTGCTTTCACAAATATATCCATCCGTACGTCTCTCGGACACACTTCCAGTGCTTGGTCACGCACCAGCAAATCAGTCAACGTGCCGTAATCAGAATATTTATGTATTTCTATTGGAGGAATCTGATGAGCTATAAAGCTCTTTTTCACACTCTTAGTTTTTTCGGTAACGTCACGTAGGTAAATAATAAAATTAATAAAAATAATAAAAAAAATCACGACGTTTCGTAGGCAACACAAGTCTCCGTCATCAGGTGAGACCGTCACAGCCAGATTTTCTGTATCAAGTGAGGCAGGGATTCCAAGATGTAAGTTCTTAAACACAAGTTAAGGGGGAGGAGAGGCGGGGAGCTTTTCAGAATGTGGTAGCCAATGAATGGAACGTATCGGGAGGGGAGGGGGCGGGGCTAAAAGAGAGCACGAGGTGCAAGAGGTGCACGTAGACGTGGACGTGTTTGTGCGCAAGTCCCTGTTGGTGCGCATGATAACGTATTGGAAGGTGGGGGGGGAGCTAAAAGAGAGCACGAGGTGCACGTGTACGTGGACATGCCTGTGCACAAGCACCTGTTGGTGCACATGATAGAAGAGAACGAAAATGCCCATGTTGTTTATATCAGTGTTGGCTGACAATAAAGAGAGTACTTTTTAACGCTGGGGATGTTAACACTCGGTAAAGTAAAATAGTGCCTGTCAGATAAGATGGTCCAAAAATGTGTAGTTTAATCTTTTTTGCACGGTTAATAACATCTTTCCAATGATTACTAAGTTTGTACCCATCATCACGGTTGAATTATGTCTGTGTTTGTATATCTGAATGGCTTCGTGTACAAACCTTTGATGGTAGCCAGAGGGTTTGCAGAGCACCTTGGTCTCGGAAAAAACAATATCATGAGAGCCCACCGCGTTGTAGCATTGATCGGCAACGGCGGAAGACTCAATTTTTCCGTCTTTCAAATCTGACTTGTGCTCGCGGACACGATCAGAGACATGACGTTTCGTTTCCCCAATGTAACAATCACCACAGCTGCAACTCAGTTTCTAGACTCCAGGGTATTGAAAGTCAGGGATGACATCCTTCACAGATGGAATTAGATCACGGATTTTATGTACTGTACTGAATCGGACTTGGATCTTATGTTTGTTTAGAAATTTCGAGATCTTTTTGGTCACGCCTGCTATGTATGGCAACGTGATAGTTTTGATCGGAGTTTCAAGTGGCTGTTTCTGTATGGTGGGAGAAACAGCTTGGCGGATGGTGCGGTCAGAGTATCCGTTTCACAGATTTCCTGTCAGAGCGGGTTATAATATTACAGCAACAAATAGTACAAAAACATTAAAGTAGTGCAAAGTACAAGAAAGGTAAACAAATAACCCACACACACACAAATAAAACTAAACCAACCCCATCCTACCAGGTAAAGCCCACTGAGGCAGTGACTGCTTTTTCAAAAGAGACCTGGCCATTAATGATACCTCAACAAAGTGGCCCATCTGGATATTATAGCACCAAAAGTATCTCAATAATATTAACGCATGTTTCTGAACGTGGAGGGGAAAACCGGAGGACCTGGAGAAAAATCCACGTGACCACGAGAGACACGCAAACTCCAAATATACAGGTGTCAGGGTCGGGATCGAACCCCCGACCTGCAATTTGATGTGCTGAATAAAACTGGGTGGTTTCCTCTCAATATGTATTTTCATGCAGGGCTTTTCAAGGGTAAATTATCCCAAGCCGTTGTCCTCCCAATTTTTTCAACAAAAAGGTTGATCTGCTCACTTTTGATCTGGCCGATCCTCAATCATTCAGCAATTCAATAAACGTGTCTCCTTGTTGGCGCATGTTCTGAGTTAGCTCACAAAATGAGAACTTCTGCCACAAATAGGTTGCTGGTGGCATCATTTCCTGCTGATCGAACATTGTGCTGCCATGCACGAGAGGAAGCTGCATGAGATCACCAAACAGGAGGATGTCGAGCTTAGGGTTACCCTTAAGCTGTTTCAGCCTCTGATCAATCATGCTGAGCATTTTGTACGGTACCATGGTTATTTAGTCAATGCACATTAACTCCCACCAAACTTCAAATTGGCGCCATTTCGCAAACGGCTGCGCCGGAGCAGGGGGTGACAATTTTTTCTGCGACGCCACTGGCGGTCGCCATTTTCCCTGCATCGCCGGAGTCGGGCGCCATTGTTTATGCGACGCCACAAGTCGCCGCCATGACACCGCATGTCGCCGCCAATGTCGCTGTGGGTTCGCTGCGAGCAGGGGTGGCGGGGGTGGCGGGGGTTTCGGCGGCCACGGACGCGGATCGGGGAGCCACGTCCCCGTGGGTTGCCAGGGCTGCTGGGGCTCCGCGTTAAGGCGTGGTGGCTGCGGCTGGGCAGACACCGGCGGCTGCCACTATGGGTGAGTCTGGGCCAGGGGATGGGTCGGTTCACTTGCGGCTGCACCGGCTGCCCCCTGTCACGCCGTTCATCGTGAAGCGGGACGACTGGCTGGATTTCCAGGCCCGGTTTGATGCGGCCTATCAGTCGGTGCGCTGGCCGGAGGAGGAGGCGCTGCATGCGCTGCCCATATGCTTGGATGCTAGCGCGTTGCAAGCGTTTTTGAGCATCCCACTGGAGGACAAGGCGATGCTGCAGTCGGCTTATCATCAGATGGCCGAGGTATTCGAGCCACCATCCGCGGTGTGTCTTAAGTTTACCATACGCCGGCGGGAGGAGGGGGAATCGCCTTTCGCTTTCCGCTGCTCCCTCCTGGCATTGCTCGGGCCACGAATCCTGACATGGAAGGAGGTGCGCTCGACTCCCTGGCCTTGGAGAGGCTTTAGCCCAGCGGAAAAGGATCATGTCCACTAGCCCTTGGTGGGCGGGAGTCTCCGCTTCTGCGTCGACTTTCGTAAGCTAAACACGATTTTGGTGGCCGATGCATATCCATTGCCTCGCATGTGAAATAAACCACTGCAACGACGATCTGGACTTGTGTCTTCTTATTCGTTTATTACACTTTCAAAGATGGGCAGCTCTGCTCTCTCTCTCTCCAACATGGCTGCATGGCTGCACTCCCCTTCCCGTGCGGTTCGGTGTTCGCTCGCGCCAACTCTCTCACAGCCTCTGCCGCGCGCCGCCGATAGGCGGCTCGCTGGGCGGAAGCCTCTGGCCCGCCACGTGGCTGCTGGCGTTCCGGAGGCGCATGACGTGGTTCTGCTGTCGGACTCCGCACACTGCTCCTGAGCTCTCTTCTGCTTCTCCTTATATCCCCTGGACTACGTCATCAAGCCCCGCCTACAGCCACGCCCCCTCACGATTTAAACCACAGAAATTCCATCTACTGCAACCATCAGTAAAGTATTTGAGCCACATTGTTAGCGCGTCAGGTGTGGCCACAGATCCGGAAAAGACTGCTTGTGTCCGGACGTGGCCGACTCCTACATCTGTCGCTGAGGTGTATAGTTTCGTGGGTTTTGCATCATATTGAAGTACCGGTGAAGACGCTTGACGCCGAGGTTGAGGCACACGTAAATTTATTTCACAGTATGACAGTGGGCATATACACTCTCGAGGGGGTATCG